CGCGTTAAATTGTAGGTAGGGTTAATATTTCCTAATCTCCGTAAACCAATTCCTAAATCTGACCCTAATCCCAAAGTTAAGTCTAACCTCAGTTGAACCCTAACCATAGCACTGCCTTAATAATAATGTTAAACTTAGCACTTATTATAATGCAGTCCCAAATTCTCTCGATTTAGGGGTGGTTCATTTTCCCTTGTTCTGTTGTGGAGGTCGCTTAAGTAAGTAATACGGAGACGTGAATAAATTGTAGATCTAATTGCATCTGCTCTTATAGTTCATGTTTTGCTCACAGGAATAAATTTATTGGTTTGCTGACGGCCCTGTGACGAAACCACCGGAAGAGGGAGCAGGATTACCAGCATCCTCTACCGTGGGGACGAAATAGAACACCAACTGCCGTCAGGCTATGCCAAAATCCGCAGGGAGGGCCAAGCAGCGAGCGGAGAAAAATCGATTAGCCCGAGGCCAACACGTACAGCCACAACTCTAAATTTGCTGATCGATAAAGTCAGAATACGCTTCGACAAAGGACAGCCGGCCCAGCTGTCCGAAACGTCAGCAACCTAACAAGTTTATTCCGGCGAGCAAAGCATGAACTATAAGTCTTATCCCGGAATTCTGACTTTTTCAAATTTGTGCTTTTACTCGATTGAGAAGGGTGTGACTTTTTGCCCGTTGACGGATGATGGTGAATTCCAAACGCATAAATGAAAGTATCCATTAAATCTATACATTTGGTTCTAATGGTCGGGTTTTATGGGTGATAACGGAGCAAGCCGGAAGTGACTCGTGGACGAAATTACTGATTGTCACGAATTGAGGCAAATGTTCGCATTCAAGGAACGTGTATATTTTGAGAAGACGTTTTATCGAACACCGGAATCATGATTTTATTGGTCTGAGCTTTCGGGCTCCTGCAGGAGTCCATCTTAAGAGATGGGAAAGCAGCAACAAATGGGGTGGCTAGTTCTGGTGTGTGTACAAAACAACTAAAATTTGAACTTGTAGAAAATCAATAATTGTGGGGTTTGGCCGCCGACTCGCCAGTGTGGACTATGTCAGTCTGTGCTAGTGGGCGAGATCGGCGTGTTTGGTGGGAATATTTACAGAAATAAAGTCTTTAAAGAAAACAAGCAACATTTATAGGGGAAAGGATCAAGTAAAAGTCATAGTTGTTTTGTGCACAGGCCAGAACTAGCCAACCCATTTGTTGCTGTTTTCTCATCTCTGACGATGGACTCCTGCAGGAGCCCAAAAGCTCGGAACAATAAAACCATGATTCTGGTGTTCAATAAAACTTCTTCTTCTTCCTCTTTTCAAAATTGCCCTCAAAATTTGCGGAGGGTGTCTTGTAATAACTACCTTAAGTTGAAAACGTCAGTTTTCTGCTGAGACTTTCTAGGAAACAGATAACGTGCATCGATTTTGCTATTCTAATTCTTCTCAGTTCTTTAGGTACAAAGGATATTGCCTGACAAGGCAGCATGTTCCGAAGGCTTGCATGGCGGATTTTTGATCAATGCCTAAAGCTCAGTCATTAGTTCTACTGAAATAGATATTGTGTTTTTGCCAAATACGTTGCAATCGCTAACACACACAAAACGAGTTCAGACCGAAGTCCTTTTAGTTAAAACAACACGGTCCACGTTGCTCCTAAAGACCTACCCGTACAACAGTGAAATACCATTGAAAATGTAAATGCGTGGATGCTGTGGTAAGGGATTAAAGAATCGAACCCACTGCCAACCCCCCCTCCCCTCCGCGCACCCACCTTCCAGAATGATGCTTATTTTGCTGAAACCAGACGGAACGGCACTGAATGGAGGCATGCGTTACCCTGGTGGGCCTGGTAGGTCTGTGCGTGATTCACTGACCATTGCCGAAAGTGCGTGCAGCATATGTTGATTAAACCTTTGAAAACACAACAGCCACAGTGTCCATAATTATAACTGGCGTCCCAAAAAGGCCACTGCCGCGTGAGAGACGGAAGACTGAGGTAAAACCTTATGCCCAGTAACATAACTCTCTTTTTTCTCACGAACCGGAAAGACAGTAAAAGCGGGGGATACAGGGAACAACACACCACAGCGCATTAACAATTGACTGACAGAGAGCGGCATTGAACGTTAAATCGAATAGGCAATTTTTATATTCCTTCATAAAGGGGGCGGAATTGCAAGGGGATCGGGAAGTATTGAGCAGTGGATACAAGTAAGATAATCACAAAGGATAATTACCTTTTAGAACCGTGGAGAAATTATATGGTAAAAAACACCCAAAATAAAGAGCATCTGGAGGATTAACTCTGGTGAGTATGGCCAAGGGCTAGAATTCAGTTCAACCTATCCCTCCTTGAGTATCATCAAGCCACATTAAATAATTATCCTGCCAAATGACTGTTAATCTACAGCTTTATGTCAAAACTTGGCGATCAGGAATCGAGGATTAATCGAACACTGTCGACCGGCCCTCAAGGTAAAGTTGTGCCCGTTGTTCCTGCCCCTGATCTTGTTTGATCATTAAGGAATGGCTTGCGCCGACCCATCTTTGCCGCTGTACATAAATGGGTGCTTCCAGTTTGGATAAAGAAGAAGATTTGTCGAGCACGGGATCGAAATGTTGTCGACCACGTCTGAGCTTTTATTGTTCGTTGGGTTCAACCTATTCAGTTTTCGCTCCAAAACCTCATTTTTCTTGACTTGCCTGTCACGTGTTAAAGCTGAGATCGCCTTCTCCAGATTCTTGGCGATAAAATCGCCGAAGATCTGGAAACACTCTCTTCTGTCCTCCTCAATCTTCACGTTTTTTCTTGCCTTTTATTTTTATAGTCGTCGGCGGCAGTCGTCGGTAAGAACTTTCGACAAATCGTCTTGCGACTTCTCTGCCCATAGCAGTGCTACCGGGTTGCTTATATCTGAGACATCGTGGCTTTAGTCGTTCTTTGAGAAATCTTTGAAGAAAACGGAGCTGCTCGTATGGTGCTGCTTCTCGAGTGGAGAATATCTCCCAGCTGCGATCTGTGCGAAGCGTATAGCACCCGAATTGTTCAAGAGTGAATGAAAACGTTCGCATTCCAAGTATTTGCGTGTCTTCTTCTCTATCCATGCAAATACCTGGAAGGCGAACGTTATCACCCCTTCGTGAGTATTTACAGTTTGTCAGAGAAATGAGGCCAATGCCAACGATAATCTTGTTTTTACTCTCTTATCCGCCCATTATTGTTCAGTGAAAGAAAACAGTTGGCCAATGAAGCACCAACTAGCGCAGGCAATCTGTATCCGGTAAAAAACTTCGAGGTAGAATGCTCCACTTCCATCTATCCGCATTAAAATAAATCACCTAGGGGACTATCTCAAGTGATTATTTCACTATAAACTTCCATTTTACATGTGGTGGTGCTCGCCGGCTGTTAATCGTTCTGACTTCTCAAAGTTATTCATCCTACTGGTCTCCCAAATCAAAACAATTCAGTCAACGAATACTGCCGCCAAGGACAAGGGACACTGGAATGACAATTTGTAGCTCATTAGTCGTCGTCAATCAGACATATCCAACTCCAGGTTTTGCACTAACTCGAAGCTAGGCTACAGTATTATACTGCTACTCACAGGTCGCGAGTTCGAGCCCGGGCTGATGCGCCACTTGGGGTTCAGTATGACTGTCTGGCGACGGCTAATGAGCCAGAAATGACCACTCCTGTTTCCAATGTCTTTATTGGTACAGTAATTCTGCCTAAAGCATTAGGCGCTGTGTGTCTGATAGTGGGAGGGGAGAGTGAGTCCAAGACGAAACGGAAGGAGTGAGTCATGTACCCGATCAGTTAACGTACATCCGCCAAGGTTAATATTCCCGATCAAGACTGTGGCATGACAATGAGCCTCTAGCTCAGGCTATAGCCCTTTGGACTTCGAATCAACAAGTCGGGGGTTCGAGCCTTGGGCGATGCACCATTTGGAGTTGGGTAGGACTAGTTGACGACGGCAAATAAGCCAGAAATGGCCATTCTTATCTCCATACCTGCAGTAATAGCCGCTGTGCGATGGTTCGCAGAGGTTGAGAGTGAGTTCAAAGATAGAACGAGATGAGTGAGTCCGATAAACGGTCGGTGAGGCGTCAATTGACTGATGCAGCCGATAGCATGGCTTCTTTCTCTCTCTCTTTACGTCAGAAATGGCTAACCACGATCGACCAGTGCCCTAGTCTGCATCTATTAAAACAGGCACTCGAAGTGTTGTAAAGGCTGCAACTCTCATTATGCGGTCCTCTGTCACCTTTTCCTCCTAACGGAGACTTGGCCTGACGGTTTTGTTGCTTGATGTAAGCGCACAACAAGCGTCCGCTCTCGCCGACCTCAATGCCAAAGTACACCAACATAATCTACTGTATTCATACCTGTACTCCGTAATAAGAGCAAGAATCTAACTCATCTATCCA